GGGCCCAGCCGCTCCGCCTCCTGGCAGTTGGGGCAGTCGCAGGTGGCGCGGCCCGAGTAGCGGCGAGCGGAGCGCGCCGAGCTCCCCCCGGCGGCGGCGGCCGCGGCGCCCGAGATCATGGCGCTGGCGGCGGCTGCCGCCACCGCGGCGCTGGAGTCCGAGTAGGAGGGCAGAACCGGCTTGAAGCCGTCCTGGGCCAGCAGGTGCTGGCTTGTGGAGAGCAAGTGCGAGGCGGCGGCGGCCGAGGAGCCGAGGCCTGTAGAGCTGAAGGCCGAGTGCGTGAGCGAGCTGAAGTCGGGGTTGTAGGTACCGAGCTGCGAGTGCAGCGAGGCCTGGGGGGCGCCCGAGTGCAGCGAGCTCTGGAGCCCCCCAGCGGGGTTCTGCACCTCCAGCCACGATCCCGGACTACTGTGCACGTCCCACCACGACGACGCCGCGCCGTTGGTCACCTCGCCCGCCGCCAGCGTCGAGTGGAAGCCTGACTTGTACCACGACTCATACGGATGCGCCATGCCCACCCGCGGGTACAGGCCGTCGGCCGCCGTGGTGTGCACTTTGGAGATGAAGGCCGACTGGCCTCCCGCCTCCTGCGGGGACACCCCGGCCGCCGCCGCCGCGGCCGCCGCCGAGTTGGAGAAGAGGCCGCCGTAGTCGCTGCTAAACGCGGACGACGTGGGGGACGTGGAGGCCAGGCAGAAGGCGCTGTTGGCTGCGCCCGAACCGCCCGCCAGGCCGCCGGAGCCGCGGCCTCCGGTGGCCACTGCGAAGCCCGAGAGGCTGGAGCCGAGGTTGCAGCTGGACGAGGAGCGCTTCCAGGGGTGGAAGCCGCCCTTGGCGAAGGCGCTCGACTCCGGCAGCGTAGTCAGCGGGCTCGTGTTGCCGATCTTGTTGCAGGTCGCCGCCAGCATGGCCAACGGGGTCGTTCCGAAGCGCGGCTCTTCCTAGAGTGGGTGGAGGGGAGGGAGCAAGGAGGAGGAGGGAAGGAAGAAGTGGGAGGAAGACACAAAGTGCACCCGTGAGCAGAGCCTGGTCCCCTGCGGCGGGTCCCGGGGGGGAGGGGTGTCGTGGCTTCCCGGTTCGCGCCTCCTCCCCGCGCGCTCGCCGAGGATGCGCCGCGCCCCGCGCGGGGCAGAGGCGATCACGAGGGCGAGGAGCCCGGCGCTGGAAAGTTGCTCCTTGGTGGGACTACAGATCAAAGACGTCCCGGTTCTCCTCGCCTCGCACGCTGCAACCCCAGCCCAGAGCCAGACTCAGATTGCTCCCCTTCCGCTCGCTGTAAGCCCGCTCCTCTCACAGAAGCCCCCAAATCGTCCTTCCGGAGGTAAACACACAGACTACAAACACCGGTTGAAGGCGGAGGCGGCCGAAACAGTGGCCCGGGGGCTGGGGAAACTTAGGCACTCCTTCCAAGGGTGGCTACAACTTGACTCTTTTCTTTTTTAATAGAAAATGTTTTTAATGTTTACACACCGAAAAGAAAACCCGATTATGGAAACAATCCAAGGGGAAGCGACTCAGCGATAGATTTCAGTCACAGGCGAACTGGGGAGCCGCAGAAGTGTAAATGTTTGTTAACGTGACTACATGAACTGCAAACCGATTAAGGCTGTTTTGTGGAAACACCACTGTCGCATAATTGCAACAATCCCCGAAGCAAGGGGGGATGGGATATAAATCACGAGGGGAAGAAAAGAAACCTCTAGGTTTTCTTTAAAACCAAATTAAAAAGGACTTGCTTAACAAATCATTTTCTTACAAAGGCACCTCCTAGTTTCCAATAACTTGGAAAGAATCAGTTCCGGAAATGTGGAAAGTGCTAAAAGAAGCTGAAGCTGCCATCCGGCAGCAACAGTTTCTCCGGAGCCGCGGACCCAGAGAAGCCATAACAAAAAATTACTCCAGTTAAAAGAAGCAATGTGTTGCCGCACTTCGACTTACCCCGAGTATAGACGTGGCCATAGCAGGTCCCTGGGCTGCGCGGCGGGGCCGGGAGCGGGGCTGAGCCTGGCGGCTGCTCGGGAAAACTGCTCGGGTCCCGCGCGGTTCCCGCGTCCCCGCGCTCGCGCCGAGCGGACTCCGGGCTCCCGCCGGCTAAACTCAGCCTAAGTGCTAGGAGCACCGGCTTTGAAGTGCCGCTGGCTGCGCCTCTCGCCCAATGAGGGCGCAGGCGGAGCAGAAGGGAGCTGCCCCGCAGCCAATCAGATGCGCCGACGGGCCTGAGCCCGGGCTCCCGGCGCGTGCCAGTCAAGCGGGCTAGCTAGGTGGGGGGGTGGGGAGGTGGGGGTCGAGGGCTAGGGACTGAAGAGATTACAGTGCAATTAAAAATTTACACACACGCACCAAGCCAGGTTTAAGTACTGCTGAGACCGAGCCTCAAGCCCCCCGAACCACCCCGACGTGATGTAAGTTAGGACTGACAGTCCTACCTCACTCCCCACTTGTGGGAAAGGAGGCGGGAGGGGAAGGGGCGCCGAGGCGGAGGCCGCATGAGCAAGGCCCAAGTGGAGACAGAAATGTCAACGCTAACTTTGTGTGTCCGGGCTCTCGCCTGTGGAGCACATCAGCTGGAATCCATCATTCTTGCTCGAGATTTTATCATTGTCGTTTGTCTTCTATCCAGTTCCTTATTCCCACTGGATTCAGTTTTACTCACTCTGAGTAAAGGGCGCGAAGGAAGAGCTCCTCCAAGGAGAGAGATAGGCCTTTCGGGCCAGGTCTACACCCACAGACTTGATGGGAGGGCCTGGAGCCTGCTGTATCCCGCCATTTCCCCCAGCGGTCTAAGTGACTTCCTAATTGTCGCTCTGGCCTCTGACCCGGGGGGTAATACAAATGCCACTCACACCAGAAGCTTGTGGTGGTAATTGAGGGCACTCTTTGTACCGTTTCTCCAGCGCCTAGATACCAGGTTAACCCAGTTGTCAAATATGACTAAACAGTGGGACGTGCTGATTATCTGCCCGGGTTTCGCTGGGGACTGGCATTGGGGTGGGAGGCATCAGCCCTTAGAACAAGCTGCACGAAGCTGCTTATTTTCACATTGTAATAACTTTGGAAACAGAGACCCGTGCGAGCCGCGTCAACCCCCACCACCACCCCCGCTGAAGCTGCAGCTTGCTCAGCTGTTTGTTTAACCCAGTGAAGATTTACATGTCACATTTTAGCCTGGAGTCGAGTTTTCTTGCCCCAGCTTCAACCTACTCCCACTCCAGACCGCCTGGGCCTAGATACTCCTCTGCGGAGCAAGGGCGCCCTAATGAGAGGTGATCTTCCCCCAGGGCCTTGCTTTCGTGGACGTGCTGCTTAAGGAGCCTCTCTCGGGGACCTCCACCCGCGAGTGCGGGGGACAAGGACACACGTGGGTGCAGCGTGCTCCCCATTTTGCAAGCTGGAAGCATCCTGAAGTCCTCTCCGGATCTTGTCGGTGTGAAAGGTTGTGTCCTCAGACAGACAACTGTGCGTCCTGGAGTCCCTCAGCAACCGCTGGGCTGTTTCTCTTCTTTCTGGGTCTTGCTTTCTCTTTCTTCTTCAGAGCAGCCAGGAGCTGCTTTTGAACCAGAAATACCAGCGCCCTCGGACATACCTGGGTACTGGTTTTAATGTACCACATTCTCCTCCAAACCTACATCCTACTTTTTAACAGACATTTTAAACGACGAACCTCAAATGCTTGGGTGCAAAAGACGAGTTGTTGCGTAGGGGGAGCAAGTGAGGAGGACATGGAATTGTGCTTTCTCTCCTCTTTTGCAATATCTCTTGGTCCCAAAGTGCAACCAGCGTGGTTCTTCTCTCGGCTCTAAGATGGAACCTGCGTGCATCCTGGTGCACTCCGTGGGTGGGGAGGGCTATATAAATTGCTTTCTTTGCTTTTCGTTAGAATATCTATACTCAGAATGCTTTTTCCTCCCCTTCGGTTTAAGGTGGCGAAAGCACCGAAGAAATTATGACAGAGAAAGAGAAAGGAGAGAGAGAGAATACTCGCGTTTCTATAACGAAGCGCTGTGCCCTGGGGGATTGTGGTGGAAATCCGCAGGAGGTAAAGGGAAGCTGTGAAAAGCTCCGGGGGACTCGGGGTGGAGGGTTGAGTGAGAGTCCAGACAGCTTGGAAGAGCCAGAAAGCCCGGCAGGGGGACCCGGGAGCCGTTCCCAACAGGTGACTTCTGCCCTGGAAGGGAAGACTGGTGCTGGGCTTCCTGTAGAGCCTCCGTGTGGATTTACTAATAGAGGGATTGTTAAGTGGCAGCGAGGCGTTTCCGACTCACCCAGTGCAGTCCTGGGAGGAGAAGCAAGGAGATATCCCCCCCTTCCACCTCCTCCCCCACCACAACACCTTCTCCTTAAGGAAACCTGACAAAGTAATAAATAAAACAATCCGAAAAGCCACTTAGCATTGGTGACATTTTCAAGTCAACCGTTTAAAACACTTCACGCTCTCACCTCGGGCTCCGGGCGCCCTGTTTGCCTTCTTCCTCTCCTCCTCTTCCCCTCCCCTCCCCCTCCTGCCGTTTTTAATGTGGTTCCAGCTGTCAGATTCTCTACACGGGTACTGGGATATTCCTTTAGATACGCGCGTCGGGATCACAATAAAAGTTAGGGAAATCTTCCAAACCAATGCTGGCAGACACTCCGGCCATTTCGACTCTAAGGTGGGACCCCAAGGAAATCTTTCCAGAGAAGTCCAGTTTTGTTTTTTTCTTTGTGATAGCTTTTTTTCACCCTCTAAAAAATCCAGTTTTTAAACAAAAATCAATGTGTTATGCTAAAGTGTTGAGCTGACTGTTAAAACATTTGGGGAAATAATGACAATGTAACAAAGGCCTGGTTTGGAGTGAATCATCACCCTTTTTAAAAGTTAAAGCAATTTTCAGGAGAATAGCTTTCAGCAAGCGCTTTACATTATTCAAAACGGCCAAATAATGCTCTATTATAGCGCCTGAATGCTGCCAGTCAGCCCCTAAGTGCAATTTGTGCAAAGGCCCCGGTGCCTTATCTCCACTTCTTTATAAAGAGGTGAATATAAAACAATTTCTTCCAAACCCAGACAGAGAGCACGAAAATTGCTTCCCTTTCTGCAATCAGGGCAATTTAACTGGAGTGCAATTAGCACTATTAAATGTCGATTTTGCATAAACAAATCTGACTGAGCAGCGAAAGTGGGGTGAGAACCTCATATACACTGAAACTGATTTTTTTAAATTATGTATCCGGGTCCTTTACAATTGATCCGTGACGTTTTCATCTTGGAATATATTTACATCGTAAATACACTATGGTTAAAT